GCAATTAGGGGCCAGATCATGAAGAGTCATGCTGAGAAAATGGAGATGTAGCTTAGAAAATGGGGGCTGCTGATTTTAAGAACCTGAAAATCCCTCATTAAGTAAAAGTTAAAATGGTAAAATGCTTCAGTACCCCTGTTGGGCAGGGTTTGCTCGTGCTTTTTGATAGGACTAGTAGAGGCACATCATGGAGAAGCCCCATGTCCAGTGCCATCCATCTTGCTGAAAAGGCCTTCCTATGAGACCACATGACCTCCCCACTGACAGAATCCAGGCAGACAGGCTGTGTTGTGCCCTGGCCCTTGGAAAAGCAGAGCTGCTACAAAATCTGCTTCTGAGAAGTTCTAATTCATCTTCCCCTTTGCCAATGCTGGAGGAGCTGGGATACCAATAGGGCAAGTTCCAGACACAGCTTCTGACCTTACTCTCTGGTGTCTGTAACAGCAGCACAAGCAATGAACAAAGCATGAAGGTGTGTGTAAGCCCGAACTCCAGTCCACAATTGTACACAAAGTCTGCTAATCGAAAACTGGGATGGGCTGTGCACAAATGAGGCAATTCGGAAGCCGGGAAGAGCATCTGCATGTGCATGCTGTGAATTAGTAAGCAAGCTGCCACTGTGGGTTCCCTCTAATGTCATATTTTACTTCTATCAGCTTGAAAATACTTCAGAAACCTCTTTGCCACTGGTCCCATGCCTGTGGTCATCAATGCTATGCTCTGCTTACATCCAGGATCTTATATTAAAACTCTCTGTGTTTCCCACCTTTTTTAATGAAAGAAATTGCCAGATTTCAACAGTAGGCACTTGGTAAGCCTGTTTCTGTGATTTCTGGATTGAAAAGACAAATTGTTCTACCAGAGTTCCAAGAAAGAAAGTGCTTATTCACATCCTATGAATCCACTTCCATCCATATGCTCCCTCCTTCCCTTTGAAACCTGACCTGCTTACTCTGATACACACATCATACCCACACACAAACCCACACATACTCACACATGCCTCTCATATTCATAAAACTACATGGATGGTTGCTGAGATCCCGGTAATTCAAAATTATATAAAATCCAAGAGAGAAGTCTGTGTGAATGGGTGTCAGTGTTCATATTAATACATAATGATAGTCTCATATATATATATATATAGTATATATAAAAATATATATAAATATATAGTATATATATAAATATATATAGTGTGTATATAATGTTATGTTTTGCTATATTAACATACTATTCATAAATAATTCCCAAGTTTCTTCCTTGTCTTTATAATTACTGTCTTAGTAACTACTACATAATATTGCAAAGGGTTGATGTATCATATTCACCTTATTTATGGTCAAACTTCAGACATTTTAATTTTAAATATTTACGATTATAACTAAGGCTATAATGGACATTTTTGCATTGCTTGCTGTAGCATGATTTCTTTGGGATACATATCATAGAGTGAAATTATTGGGGAAAAGGATATGAAAAATGCTATAGTTCCTAATAGTAATTTTCCTGTTGTTTTCTAAAATAGGTGATACAAACTTTTTATATCATTAGGGGTGTGAACATGCCAATTTCACAAGAATTTGCTCAATAGTATGCTATGATTTTAATGTATGCTGTTTGTTCTACTAATCTGTTGGGTGTAAAGTGTTATAGAAAATTTTCTTAATTTGAAATTTTGTGATTGGTAGGAAGCATAAACATTTTTCAAAGAATTTACTTAATGTGATGTAAGTGTTACATTTACTTTTTATGTGATGTACATTGTTTATAGTCTTATATATTTGGTGTCTGTGGATTTTCTCATAAATTTAATGAATTCTTTAAATGGTATATATATTAACCACTTATATGTAATATTAGACATTTGTAGACTATAATAATTTGCTTTCATGAAATGTTCTTTACCCAACTCTTGACAAGACCTACTTCTCATCATCATTGAGCTCTCTGTTCAATTACCATTTTTTTTAGAGAGAGTAGCCCTGATCTATCTATATATAGTCAAGGGAGAAGAGTGGGTGAGAACAAGACCTTTAGAGTCAGAGTATCTAGGTCCAGATCTTGGCTTGTCACTTACTGTGTAGCTTTGGGTGACATATTAAATAGGGAAAATGATGATATCCACCCTTTAGGATTGTTGTGAATATTTAAAAAATTGATATAAGCAAAGTGCTTAAAACCGTGCCGTCCAAAAGGAAAAAAAATAAAGACATAGCTATTTTTATTTAGGAGTATAATATCAGAAGGCAATGGAACTGAGTTTTTAACAGGTGGAGAAGAGATGAGAAAGTAAGCTTGGACTTTCTTCCCAATCTTTTCCCAGGCCTAGCCCTGCTGGTATGGTTCTTTTTGATGCTTCAATGAACATTGATCAAGATCTTCTACATCAAGTGACTATGACAAATTATTGTGTCCAGGGAAAAAATGTTCTTAAAAAATGAGTCCTCCAGAGGCATTGATTTGGGGGATAAAATATAAATATGCATATTAAATAATAGCATGCCACAGTGGAAAGAACATGAATTTTGGAGACTGGTTGACCTGGGATCAGATCCTGTCTTCACCGTGGGCTGGTTGTGCAGCTTTGATCAAGTCATTCGATCTTTCTGAGCCTCATCCAGGCCCTGCTGGCTTGACAGGAGAGTTAAATAAGTTGACATAAGTATGTAGTGCATATGGATCATAGCAGACATTCAATACTCTATAATAATTGTATCAAAAGGAGGGTGGGGTGATTATTCTTTGAGAAGTGGAATTTCTGTTACTGCCTGATGCAATAAAAAAAAAATCCTGTGGGTTCAGACAACAGATGAGTTTGAACAGATCCTTAAGTGACAGATTTAAGGGTTAGAGAGAGACCCTCAGTTGGGATAGCATGACATGAGCCTACTTTATGGGCATATGCAGGCATATGGAGAATGTGGGATGAAGATCATGTACTTGGAGTGAAGTGGATGGCTGAAGCATAGGAGTGATGAAAAATGAGGTGAGAAGGGAAGGCTGAGCTATAATGGTGAAAGGCCAAAGGGTTACTCTCAGAGATGCATTGCAGTTATTCAGATTCTCCTCACTTTTATTAGATCCTTTGGAACCAGAGAAAAGGGACATTTAGAAAGCAGAGAACGATTTGCTAGTGGTTGACATAAAAGATGCTAGCATTGTGATTTATAATGCATTGAAGAGAGACCATCTTAATTTATCCATCCCCTGGAACTTGAGGCAAGAATTGTTCCAGAGAAATGCTTTGACACATCCATGGGACAACTGTTTGAACTACCTAGATTAGCAGCATCACATTTGTTCAGCAGCATCATCACCTAATACTTATCAAGCCCTTACTCTGTACCAGGTACTCCGCCTAGTGTATTCTGTGCATTACCTCATTCAATCTTCTCAGTAACCCTAAAAGCAAGTGCCAATTTTATTCTCATTCTACAAATAAGCAAACTGAAGCTTAGAGACATTCCATAGCTAGAAAGTGCTGAAGCTACCTTTGAACACAGGATTGCCTGTCTCCAAAATCACTACTCTCAGCAGTCTCTAACACCAGCTTTACTATCTCTTTGTGCAACTATTATTCAATCACTGCCCTCTCTCCTTTTTTCCCCATGTCCTCAAATGCATTGCATTTTCTTTCTGTCTCTCTCCCCTTCTACTCTTGCCCTTGCCCAAGCTTTCATTTATGAACTCAATGCCTCAACGTTTATGGAACACACACAGTGTGCCAAGTGCTCTATTAAGTGATTTTACTTCTCCATGTTATTCTTTCTCCATAATGCCTGACATGGTACTAGAAATGAACTCAATAAATACATAATCTTGTTAGGTGTGGTCTAGTGCCTCAAGGAATTGAATAACTACAGGATATTTTAACTAAAATTCCCAGAGTTGGGATGCACTCTTGCCTGCTTTCCTTCGTCTCCTTCTTTCCCTCCTTCCTCTTTTCTTTCCTTCCACAAATATTTGTCATATTAATGTCTATATCAAATACTTTGCTAAGTGCTAGGGCTACAGTAAAATACACAGAAAGGCAAGTAAATTTAATTAAACACTTTTATGATCCAGGACCGGGCTGCAATGGACATCTCCTGGAGGCTGTCGCTCAATACTTGCCCCTCTCTCAATAATGAGTAATATAGTGCTTGTCACTGCTGCCCTTTAAAACTCCAAATAGAATCAACCATGGACAAGAAGGGCAACACCAAAGATTAAATGAGGGGGAAAGGGAGGGGGCCTGTGGGTAAATCTCATCCATTCCATTCTATCCAGTGATCAGATATTTTGAAGCAGGGGGCAGGTAAGATCCTGTGGTCATCCTTAAAAATCATGATCTGAGAGGCAGAGTTGGAGAGGGTGAGCTTTTGGAAAACCATGGGAGCTGGATGGGACAGTTCTGGTGATAAAGCAGTGTCTGAGTGTGTCCAAGTGTTACGGAAGAGGCATTTGTGTCTCCCCAAATTTCATATGTTGAAGTCTTAACCCCTAATATGATAGTATTAGGAGGTAGGGCCTTTGGGAGATAATTAGGTTTAGACAATGTCATAAGGGTGGGATTAGTGCCCTTAGTAGAAAAGACACCAGAACTTCTCTCTCCACCCTGTGAGGACACAGCAAAAAGGTGGCTATCTGCAAACCAGGAAGAGAGTCCTCATTAAGAACTGAATCTGCGCTGGGCGCAGTGGCTCATGCCTGTGATCCCAGTACTTTGGGAGGCCGAGGCAGATGGATCACCTGAGGTCAGGAGTTCAAGACCAGCCTGACCAACATAGTGAAACCCCGTCTCTACTAAAAATACAAAATTTAGCCAGGTGTGGTGGCGGGTGCCTGTAATTCCGGCTACCAGGTGAGGCAGGAGAATCGCTTGAACTCAGGAGGCAGAGGTTGCAGTGAGCCAAGATTGAGTCATTGCACTCTAGCCTGGGCAACAAGAGCGAAACTCTGTCTCAACAAAACAAACAAAAAAACAAAACAAAACTGAATCTGATGGCACTTTGGCATTTTGATCTTGGACTTCTCAGCCTTCCAAAACTGAGTTATAATTTTTGTGTTTAACCACACAATGTATGGTATTTTGTTACAGCAGCCTGAGCTGCCTAAGACACCAAGTTTCTCTAACAGCATGACTAAATGGCTTCTGTGAATGACTGACAGGAGCAGGCAGCACTCTTTTTTGCTTCTGGATGGGGTGGTAGAAGATTAACAGGTTGCCATCCTACCTTGCTCACTTGGAGAGAAACAGTGTTTTCCAAATCAGACATATATATGCGGGGAATTTCTCATGGAGATTAGGCAATGGATCTAAAAAGGTACTCTCCTCCTGCCTGACCTTAGCACATCCCATGGAGCCCTCTCTATTGTGAATCTGAAGGCTTAGCAAAAATCCTCAGATTCACAATATTTTCTCAGTACATATCAGAACATCTGCAATGAACAGGTTTCTATGTTAGACAAAGTGGATTAATTTTATTATAAACAAAAACCACCTTCAAAAGAGTATTCATTGTTGGTTTTTGATTTTAAAAAGTAGAACCGCTTGCATGAATTCACCAATTCCCAACTGGTTGATTCAATGCATTACAAGAGAGGAACTCAGCAATCCTGGCTCATATTTTATCAGCCATAGCAGGACATGGAGTTTGGATTTGGGGGATCAAGGCACTTTCAATTTCCAGTATCAGAAACTCATTTATTTATTATATGAACAAATTGAGTATGCTTAGCCCCATAGGAAATAGAAATTTTACTTTCTCATTCTTTGTCACCCATTAATAAACAGTGCACATTTGTGTAACAGTAGGATCAGTAAGTTAGTTTTGGTCTCTTACGTAAGCCATTTCATGGAAACTTTTCAGTAGTACATTATTGCTTTCACCTTATTTTCAGAGATCTCCTGGAAATAACTGAAATATGGGACTGTTTTATTATGTTAAAAAGTTTAGTTAGCAGAAAATGCAATATAACATGTATGTCACACAAGTTTATAGCCTGCCTACATATTAGATATTGATAATTTCAGGGTAATTTCAGTCTGTAAGTTTGTTTTTCTCAACCACATTATTTATCTTTTATTCTTATCCAGGATGAATGTAAACCTTTTGGGTTTTTCTTCCTCTTATCCATTCATTCAGAAGATATTTACTGAGTACCTATCTATGCCATGCAGTCTCTTAGAGAATGGGAATACAGCAGTGAACAAGATAGGTAAGAGTCCTGCTGTTAGGGAACTTAAATTCTAGATTAGTGCTGTCCTGCAGACATTAAAAAAAAATATTTTTTATTTTTTTGGGTACATAGTAGGTGTGTCTGTTTATGGGATACATGAGATGCTTTGATACAGTCATGCAATGTGAAATAAGTACATCATGGGGAATGGGGTAACCATCCCCTCAAGCATTTCTCTTGTGAGTTACAAACAATCTGATTATACTCTTTAAGTTATTTTAAAATGGATAATTATTATTGACTATAGTCACCCTGTTTTGTTATCAAATAGTAGGTCTTATTCTTTCTTTCTTTCTTTTTTTTTTTTTTTTTTGTTGTTTGTTTGTTTTTGTAGCTGTTAACTACCTCCACTTCCCTCTAAGTCCCTCATTACCCTTCTTAGCCTCTGGAAACTATTCTTCTACTCTCTGTGTCCACGAGTTCAATTGTTTTGATTTTTAGATCCCACAAATAAGTGGGAACATGCAGTGTTTGCCTTTCTGTGCCTGGCTTATTTCACTTAACATAATGCTCTCCAGTTCCATCCATGTTGTTGCAAATGACTAGATCTCATTCTTTTTATGGTTAAATAGTACTCCATTGTGTATATGTACCACATTTTCTTTATCCATTCACCTGTTGATGGAGACTTAGATTGCTTTCAAACCTTAGGTATTGAAAAGAGTGCTGCAACGAACATTGGAGTGCAGATATCTCTTTAATATACTGATTTCCTTTCTTTTGTATGTATACCCAGCAGTAAGATTGCTGGATCATATGATATCTCAGTTTTTAGTTTTTTTCAGGAGCCTCCAAACTATTCTCCAAAGTGGTTGTACTCATTTACATTCCCACCAACAGTGTACACCAAAGATTCCCTTTTCTCCACATCCTCATCAGCATTTGTTATTGCCTATCTTTTGAATAGAAGCCATTTTAACTGGAGTGAGATAATATCTCATTGCAGTTTTGATTTGCAATTCTCTGATGATCAATGATGTTGAGCACCTTTTCATATGTCTGCCATTTGTATATCTTCTTTTGAGAAATGTCTATTCAAATCTTTTGACCATTTTTGATTGGATTGTTAGACTTTTCCCTATAGAGTTATTTGAGCTCCTTCTACATTCTGGTTCTTAATCCCTTGTCAGATAGGTAGTTTGCAGATATTTTCTCCCATTCTGTGGGTTGTCTCTTCGCTTTGTTGATTGTATCCTTCACTGTGCAGAAGCTTTGTAACTTGATGTGATCCCATTTGTCCATGTTGCCTTTGGTTTCCTATGCTTGTACCTACACTCAAGAAATCTTTGCCCAGACCAAAGTCCTGGAGATTTTGCACAATGTGTTTTGTAGTAGTTTCATAGTTTGAGGTCTTAGATTTAAGTCTTTAATCATTTTGACTTTTATTTTTGTATATGGTGATAGATAGGGGTCTAGTTTTATTCTTCCAGCAGAAGTTTCTTTGATGATGGAAATGTTCTAATGTGATTAGATTACATTAGGAAATGATTTACTGTTCAATGTAGTATCCTCTAGCCCCATGTGGCCATTGAGCACATAGGCTATGGATAGTGGATAGAATTATTTGACTTCAATACATTTAAATTTAAATAGCCACATGGGACTAATGGCTACTATATTGGACAACACAGTTTGGTAGGAGAGGCTGACATTAAAGAAGTAGATGCAAAACTGGCTGGGCACAGTGGCTCATGTCTGTAATCCCAGCACTTTGGGAGGCTGAGTCAGGAGGATCACCTGAGGTCAGGAGTTCGAGACCAGCCTGGCCAACATGGTGAAACCCCGTCTCTACTAAAAGTACAAAAATTAGCCAGATGTGATGGCAAGTGTCTGTAATTCCAGCTACTCGAGAGGCTGAGGCAGGAGAATCGCTTGAACTGGGGAGGTGGAGGTTGCAGTGATCTGAGATCGCACCATTGCACTCCAGCCTGGGGGACAAGAGTGAAACTTCCTCTGGGGAAAAAAAGAAAAGCAAATATAAAACCAAGGCAGGTACTGTGGAGGAAATAAACAGGTGATGTGATGGGAGTGGTAGAGGAGGTGGGCTTCAGGGAGGGGTGTCAGGACAGCCTCTAGATGAGAAGAAGCCAGACTCATGAGAAGCTGAAGGAAGAGGATTGCAGGCAGAGGAAACAGTAAGTGAAAAGGCTGAGCCTGGGATTCCTCAGAAGTGCACTGAATGCACTGACAGCTGTCCCTTTCCAGGTCCACATCGAGGCTGGAGGCTTCTACTTTGGGATGGCAAACTTTCTCATCTGGGGGGACCTCTTCTGTGTGGGAGCATGCGTTAGGCTCAAGAGTGACCAAAACGACCCTGCTGAGATCTGCCCCAGGTGAGCTGCCATCTCTTCTCTGCACAGCAGCTGGTGCAGTAGCTGACCTCATATCCTGGGGCTTCAGCCACGTTCTTTTAGTTCTCATACCATAGGTATACACAGGCAGCACAGTAGCTGTTTGCTGCCTAACCTAGTTTCTGCATGTAAACCTTTTCTGATTTCTCTGGGGATATAACTTACTTCCACGCTTTGACTCTTTTCTTTATCCACATTCCAATGACTATGACTTTCCTGTCTTTTTACCTCCTTCACCCAATTTGTGTCCTCTCATTTGTTCTGTTCACCAGTTTGCTGACTCTTCTCCCTTCAGCATCTCCCACAAGGCATATATGTGTTTCTATTTCTAGTGTTATCTGTCTATAGCACCACAAAGCACTTGAAATATAAGACATTTGATATTTGAGATATGACTGGCCTTATTATTGTTATCTCTATCATAGTTATTATCATCACCATCATCATTCCAACTTTTACAGATGAGAAATAAAAATGAGGCCTAGGGAGATGTAGTGCCTTGCTTTAAGTCACCAGCTGGTAAATAGCCCAGCTATGATGTCTGACTCTGAATTCAATGCTTTTCCAAAGTACTCTACCCATCTTCCTCATCATGTTACTTCCCTATTGAGCTGGTCAGTAATTGAACTGCCTTTCAAGTTTGAGAACTTAAGGAACTCAAATAAATTGTTTCTTTTCCCTGTTTGAGAAGACCTGCAGCTTCTCATTTTTCCATGCTCACTCCTATGGCCAGAGTCAGTTACAAAGATATTGTATTCTGAATAACTAAGAACATGCTTTGTTATTTTCAAAAATTTTAACTGAAATTAAGACACCAAAAAAAAAAGTTATCCTAGAGGATTCTAGGATCTCCAAATATATTTTTTAATAGACTCCTTGAGCTTAAGAAGTACTGACTTGTGTTTGTTTATTCTAGTTCACAATCCTGTTTAGAGAAGGCCGACCCTTGCTGCAGCAATCTTGACTAATACCTACCAGCCCCACTATCTCCTATTGTAAATGCAGTTTCCAGAATGTGGAAGAGAGTAGGTTCAGGGGGCTAAAAAGAAATCCTGTTGGAAAGGCAAAAACGGGTCTGTGGAGGTGAGGGCTTCTAAGTTTTTTGCTTTCAAAGCTGTGCTGTGCCTGCCTTTTCTTCTCCACATCGGGAACCTGCAGTTCACAGGAAGAGGGTTTATGATCACGTTAATCTGGGCTGTTGGGCCTCAGATTGCAGACCTTAAGAATAAAATAAATGAAATATTTTTATACATCTCTCCTAATTCTTTCATAAACTTTGAAACTGAAAACCATCTTGGGAGGAAGGCACTGTCCTGTAAGCCCAAGAGGTGGTGCTTTGCAGGGTTTACATGTGTAGCCTCTGTAATTCTGACCACTTGGATTTGAAGTCTGACTCTACCCCTTTGCCAGCTACATGAGCTTGGGCAAGCTCACCTCTCTGTGCCCCAGTAATGGCATTTAGCAGGTAGAATTTTTCAATATTAAATGTAGTAATATATGTGAAATACACAAGTAGTTGACAAATGGCTGCTATGATTTTTATCATTCCCGAAAAAGTTATAGATGCTATACAGTGTAGGAATGTCACAATCATTTCTTTTTTCTGAATTGAATTAAATCGTGTTAAGCCCTCATTCACTAAGATTGGCAAATTTGTCCAATAGTAGGTAATTTTATGGATCTTCTCACTTCTTTGTATCCTATACCTACCTCCAGACTTAGCCCAGAAGATGGAGAAGGGCCTGGTCTTCAGTCTGTGCTGGTCCCACTGTTGGTCTGCCATGCTGAGAGCTGGGCCTTTCCTGTCTGTCCGGTACTGCCCTGGGGTCCTATCACCTGGCCCAAGGATCCCATGCTGCCATCCCCACTTGAGCCACTACCTTTCCCCATTACACTGTATCACATTCAACTGAAGTCCTGCTCTCTGTGACCATGGAATCCTAAAACCCCAATCTTGGACCACCAAACTATCTCCTACATGATTAACACCTTGACCTTCTCTAACCTCAAAACCAGACAGCTGCCAATCCCTTCCTGTAGCGCAGGCAGCTTTATCCTCTTGATGAGACTCAACACATTCCAAACAGGAGCAGAATGCCAAATTCTGCACATTTTTTTAGGAAGGTTATGGTAAATATTTGAGCTTGAATCCTTTAAGACAGAGATTGGACTCCTTAGTTTGGGCCACAGGCTCACTACAGAATTATCCAGAATAATTCACACATTTATGTTATAGCCCCTGTAGGTATTTTAATTTTTAAATACTAGCATTAACAAAGCCCTGAGTGGAGGTTTTCTTTAAGCTTCAGTGCTCTAGTTACTCTACATTCTCATGGTAATGCCTGTTTTTAGGTTTCAAGACACATAAAAAAATTAATTACTTTCCAGGGCAGGGAATCCATAACTGTAAACACAAGGCCTGGTTATTTTTCTTAAAAGAAGAAAAATAAATATTATCTCATTCTTGTGAATGCAGCAGTGAAGGCATAGGACAGAGACACATATTATAAAATAATTTCAATATTAAATTATAAAGCATCCTGATATGTTAAATTTTTACAGAAAAGAAGTCTGAATTATATATTAGTGGCTTTCCCCAAATTCATTGGTAAATAGCAGAGTTTTTAATTCCATATTGCCCCTCTTTGCTGCAATAAATCTCCAGCAAATGGAGACCCTTAATGATAGATACTTCATTACTTATGGAATTAATGATAGACATTTTAGTTTGGGCTGTTAGAATCTTGGCATTGAGCTCTGTACCATTTTGTGCACGTCCAGAAAAGAAAACATTTTTTTGCAGCATCAGGCAATTGATATTTTCATGAGATTATCATAGTTCTCTTTTAAGATAACCCTGCATTGGTGGTTTCTTTTCTTTTTTTTTTTTTCTATCTTTTTTTCTCTTTACTCTTCTGATATTTCCACAGACAGTGATTATTATTGATCTTCTCTATCACATGTGGACATTTTATGGTGAGACTATCAGATTTTTTCTTTTTTTTTTTTTTAACTGGAGAATTATCATGCAGCTTGTATAAATTTTCCATGCTGAATTCCATTAACCCCAAATCCAGGTGTGTAAAAACACATTAATTTGTAAGAAGCAAGAAAATTGCATTTTAACTCAAAATCTAAGTCTGAACACCACTGAAATAAAATGGGCCTTAAAAATGAGTTGTTCAGTTGTATGTATGTATCTGGTAAATAACAGATGAGAATGCTTATAATCAGAAATACATATTACTTCCCTTTGAAATGTTTTATGGAGAAGACCTTTGATCTTTGTCGTTTGTTCCCCATCTCTGCCTCATCTTTCCCTTTTCTATTCATTATACGAATGTGTCTTGATCATCTTGTGAAGGTGCTAACAGATTTGAACTTGATTCTGTAGGTAATAAGGAGTCAGCCACTATTTTAAAGCAAGAACATATAACATCACTAGTCATCAGGGAAATGCCAATTAAAACCACAATGCAATATCACATCATATCCGTGAGAATGGCTATTATCAAAAAGACAAGATAAGTGTTGGTGAGAATGTGGGGAAAAGGAAACCCTTGCACACTCTTCATGAAAATGTAAGTTAGTACAGCTATTATGGAAAAGAGTATGGAGGTTCCTTAAAGTATTAAAAATAAAACTACCACGTGACCAAACAATCTCACTTCTGCTTAATACATATCCAAAGGACATGAAATCAGTAAGTGGAAGAGATATCTGCATTCCCATGTTTATTGTAGCACTATTCACAATAGCCAACATATAAAACCAACCTAGGTATCTATCAATGAATAAATAAAGAAAATGTCTTATACTGTATATACACAATGGAATACTATTAGGCTTAGTAAGAAAGAAATCCTGTTATTTGCAACAACATGTATGAAGCTGGAAGGCATTATGTTAAGTAAACCAGACTCATAAAGACAAAAACTGCAGGATCTCATTTATATGTGGACTGTGAAAAAGTCAAACTCATAGAAACAGAATAGAATGGTGGTTACCAGAGGCTGTGGGGTGGGGAACTGGAAAGATGTTGGTCAAAGGTCACAAAATTTCAGTGAGATAGTAGAAACAAGTTCAAGAGATCTACTGTACGTCATGGTTACTTCTATTAATCACAACATATTGTATATAGAAATTGCTGAGAGTAGATTTTGACTATTCTTATCACAAAAAGATAAGTGTATGTGTTCATGCATGTGTTAAATACCTTGATTTACCTATCTTACAATGTATATACATCTATCAAAACATCATGTTGTATACATCACTATATGCTATTTTTATTTTTCAATTAAAAAATAAAGAAAATAAAGCAGAGGCATAATATGATCATGTCCACTTCTTAGGATTGCAATAATATCAATGGCAAACAAACTAGGATTGTTGATTCTCTAGGCTTTGGGACTGGTACCAAGGATAAGAGAAGGGAATAAGAGCAGACATATGAAGAAACCACAGGTGATAGGAAACTGTGAGATTCATATTGAGTACTAAGTGGGGATGTACTGGCAGGGAATGATAGCTGAATGAATACTAGGGAATAAATGGTGTCAGCTAATACTCCTCCCACCCCAAACACTGGTGACACACATATTCTCTTTCTTGTTCTCTCCCCTGAAACTGGTGCTACTTGGAAAAGTCTTTCATTCCAGCTTGTCTGCCCTGGAACTCTTTGTTCTTTGGTTTCCGTGGTTGCAGGATCTAGCAAATTGAACACAGTCCCTACAGAGCACTGAATTGTGGATGTTAAAATTTACGATGGAGCAATTTGGTTGTGCCGTGTTCCAGAAGAAATGGAGACACTTAATTTTTCACGTGCTTCAGTGGCAGCCACTTGTTATGACTTCAGATCAAAAGGTGGTGCAAAGTTAGTTTTGAATTATTTTAACATGTGCAATCGGAACATTGAGATGATTTATGAAAACAAATGATCTGAGTTGGCACTAAGGGGTTTTGAGACTCATTTTTCAGCCATTTATATTTAATCTTTCTGAATATCTTCGGCTCTGCTGATACCAACACTCACTTCTGAAGCCAACAAGCCGTCTGCTTATAAATACTGCATCAACTGGTAAATCACATTAATTTGATTTTGTTCATTCCACTCAGCTTCTAAGAAGGTAGCATGCCTTTTAGGCTGCACAGACCTTGGTAATCTAAATAGGAGCAGACCTGACAAAATCTTAATTAGATGTAGACCAGGGCTAACGTTTGCCACCCCTTGGAAATAGTGTTGTTCCCAAGGGGCCCTACCCAGACGCTGGTGCATTCTTGGGGAAGTAGGGCCTCATGAGCCCATTTCCTTTTGAGAGACCTTACAATGAATTCCTTACAGGGGTCTCCTTTGTGTTACTGCTCATTCTTCTGTCTGGGGAATACTCTGGCTTAATCACAGGTGAACATAGACACGAATTTCCAGGTACATTTATACTATTTCTCTGATCAAGGGACTGGAGCTAGAAGAAGTGAAAGAGAAGCAGTACAGTGGCTAAAGATGAACTCTGAGATGGCAGAGATGGGTCAGATTCCTACCACTGCTTTAAACCAGCTATAGACTCAGCCTAATTTTTAATCTTCAAGCCTCATTATCTTTACTTATAAGTTGAGCTTAATATACAGGATTTATTTTATGTCATTATTGTAAAAGTTAAGACAATGTATAAAAAGTGCTTAGGCCAGTTCCTCACATATTATAAGAAGTCTATAATAATGTATATATTATCATGTATTCCTGTTCATGTGACGTTATTTGAGAGGTGACAGAAGGCTCTCTACTTCCAACATTTCTTGTTAGTGCTATTTTAACAATAAAGAACTTTCCTAGGTTTAAGGAACTAGCATTTAATTATACTGAGTGATATGCAAATATATGCAAATAATGAATTTCTATAGGTACATACACATTCCTGAGACTGACTTTATTTGAATGTAACATGGAATTGAGAAAAGGGGCTTAAAACTTATCAACTCTGGTGTTTTTTTTTTTTAAGTCACAAAATTGTTATTTGCTGACATGTATACATGTCTTTTATTTGAACTCACCCT